CACTATCCAGTGGGCCATCCTCTGCTTAGAGACGGCATTCCCCTTCTGCCCTGTCTCCATGACAGACAAAGAGCTGGTCTGAGGTCCTGAAGCTTTGCGTCCGGTCAACGTAGCACCTTGAGGCTCGGACGGGACAGAGCAAAACTAGGGCTGGGTCTGCCTCCTCCGAGGGCAGCGCTTGGAGGTTCACTACCTGATCCTTGAAGGGAGTAGTGGGAACCTTGGGCACATAGCCGGGCCGGGGCCTCAGGGTTACCTGGGAATCAGCCGGCCCAAACTCTAGGCACGAGTCGTTGACCGAAAATGCATGCAGGTCCCCTACCCTCTTGATGGAGGCCAATGCCAGCCGGAGCAAAGTCTTCATCAAAAGGAACTTCAGCTCAACCGTCTGCAAAGGCTCAAATGGGCCCTGCTGTAGTGCCATGAGCACTAGAGTCAGGTCCCAAGAGGGTATAGAGGGGGGCCATGGAGGATTTAACCTTCTCGCCCCCTTAAGGAACCTGACGACCAGGTCATGCTTCCCCAGCGACCTCCTTCTACTGGGTCGTGGTTAGCAGCGATTGCAGCGACATAAACTTTAAGGGTGGAGGGAGACCGCCTTCGCTCCAAATCTTGCTGCAAAAAGGACAGCACAACTCTGATCGTCGAAGCGACCTCAGATGCTTCTGACTCCAGAGGAGGAGGTGGCAGGAGAGTTGCGACATGCGTCGGGAGCGCAGACCACCTTGTCGGAGACCACCATGCCTGGAGACCTGCTCTAGGGGCACTCCCTGCCCGGAGAAACGCAAGATCTGACCACGGGTTGAAGGTTTGGCGGCAGGCCGGTGTACTTGGACCCGGAAAGTGCTGCGTTGTAACGCCCACCTCGGGACTAGGCCATGAAGCCAGTGCTGCAGCGGTCTCATATGGAGCAGCCCCAGCGGCGTGACTGCCGCCGTAGCTGCCATATGCCCCAGGAGCCTCTGAAACTGTTTCAGTGGGACCGCCATCCTGCTCTTGAATGTATTCAAGCAGTTCAACAC